ATTTTTGTTTAGTGATCATCAAACATATTAGATTTTGGGTTTATGAGTTTGTATATGTTTTTTATTAATTTTAAAGTTGACTAAAATTTAAAAAATTTTTTATAAATAGAAAAATTTAACACTAAATCTTTTAAAGTTGATTGGAGAAGATTTTACACCAAAATGAGATTTGGCGATTTGGTGTTAGATTGTATATGCTTAGAAAGAAATTTAAACAACTTCGGTTATGAAATATTCCTTTTTTATTGATTATAATATAAGTCATTTATTTGTTAGCCGTCCAAACCGCCATGATTGTCCCACCACCGTTGCCGCCATTTTTTGTTAAAAATAAATCTTTCATATCTATCCATCTTCTATGTAATTTAATAGTCCCATGGAAGAACTTTTATTAATTTGTATGTATATATATTTAATAGTTCCATGGCCCATCGACCATCGTGGATCATAATTCATTTTGAAACTTTGTAAGCACCGCTCAACTTAAATGAATGGAAGCTAATTAGCTGTCACGACGAAAATTTACATTACCACCAAATACTGTAGTAACACTGGTTTTATTTCATTGTTGGGACCAATTATTCAGTTAAATCCTTTGCAAATATTTCCTAAAAAAAAAAATCTCTAAATGTTTCGTACGTAATTCATTGCTTAGACTAATCAAATAAGATATATCCCTAATCTCTATATCGCAGACGTTAGAAACTGCATTATCTGATCAAACATTTATATAGATATTTTTATTTGATTGCTTAGGCTGAAAACACACGTTGTAGTAGTGCTCCTATTTTTGGAAGTAACGAAGCTTCGCCCGAAAATTCCGTTTGATTTTATTTATTTGAATATAATGCACATAAACTTATTTGATTAAGGAATAAAACATGTGTGAATAATAATAAAATTTTAAAAATTAGAATAAGGAAATTATGGACTAATTAAAAAAAAAACCATCATACTAAAATAGATAATATTTCGAAATTGTTATATTACAAAATATATTTTTTCCATTTCAAATTATTTAAATAGTTAAAGACAAAAAGAGATGTCATATTATAAATGTCATCTTGCTAATATAATAACGTATATAAGACAATTTTAGTATGAAATAAATATAACAAATTGACAATTTAATAAAATATAAAATGATATAATAATGAAATAAATATTAAATATTTGTGCAATTCGTAATTTAGAATATAATTATATTTGTCAATTATATGCGTTATAAATTTTAAAATCAAAAATATTTACCGTAATGCAGTTTTATATAAGCATGACACGTAAACAAAATTATAACTCAAGATATCGCGACATGTATCTAATATTTGATCAGATGATGAATGTGTTAAAACTTAAAATAATTAAGAAAAATAAGATTTAAAATGGACAATAGGTGTCAAGTTACTAATCAAATAATAAAAAGTAAAATTTCTGATACTATCCATACTAATTAAGAAACAAAATTTAAGATGAAGTATAAACATTACATAAGTCATAAAAGAAACAAAAATAATACTTACAGAATAAAAATGTCAATTAAATGGAAAAAACATTGGAAGATTATATAAATTAGAAAACAAAAGTTAGAAAGGTTATAGAAACTTCAATTTAAAAGTTTAAAGATATACACGACCATGCAAAAATAAAATAATAATAAAATTCTATAAAAATATTTATTTTATCAATATAGAGTTATAGAATATCACGAAGAAAATGGAAATTTTTGACCTATGACGCCATTGGCACTCTCCAAGTATATATATTGAAAATTATGTAAGTTAAAAATAATAATATTATATTTATTATAAAGTTAATACTGTATAAAGTTTGGCGAATATAAATTTGTATTAGTAATAAAATGATGACATTAATAAAATACAATTATCAATCATGTACTTCTGTAATGGTTCACAATATTATTTGTAGTTTTTATGAGGTAACTAACATAAATTTTACTTTTTCTGATTTAAATATATAGTATTTTAATTATTTTTTATTTCTATCACAAAATTCATAAATATTCATAATGAGTTAAAATATATATCTTATTAAGAATATGATTTAAATTTTGATTATATATATTTTTGGATTTGCATGATATGAATTAAAACATGAGAATTATGATATAAACTG